AGCCCAAGCCAGAGCCGGCCGCAGAGCCCGGCCCGCGGGGAGGCACCGCCGGCCGGGGAGGGCCAGGGGGCGCGGCCGTCCCCCGCAGGTCGCTCCCCGCGACGCCATCTTGGATCGGTCCAGCAGCCCCGAACGGGCGGCGGGGCGACAAGGCTCGCCGAGCCGAGGCCTCTGCTGACCCTACTCACCTGGGGTGGGCGGCGGCGGCGGACGCGAGGCTGCAGGTGTCAGGCTGCGGTGGTGCCGAGCTCCGTCACTGTCGCTCGCAGCCGCTCTGCCGTCTGCGATAGCGGCTCGGCAGCGACTCCACCGGAAACGAACCAGCCGCAGCCAATCAGCGCTCGGCCGTGACGTCAATGCGCCTCGCTTTGGCCCGCGGGGTCGCCTTGGCAACCTTAAAGGCGCAGAGTCCTCGATGCCGCCCGTCCCCCTTCGTCCAAAGACCCTACGCTATCTTCATCCTAACGTGGTTCTCCTGCCCTTCTTTCCCTCCTGCGCGCCCGTTATCCTCAGGCCTTTCCTCGTCCTGCCTATTCTTTCCCCGCTGCCTCTGGGCCCTCGCTCCCGTCACCTGCGCCCCTTACCTGTTCCTCCTGGGGTGTCTCCGCGCCGCTCCCTCCCTCGGCGTCTCTGCCTCCCGCCCCGCTCCTCCCGCTCAGCCCGCGCTCGCGAGGCTGCGGCCTTTTCTCCCTCCCTCCGGCCGCGCCCCCGCCGACCCACGTGGGGCGTCCGGGTGACAGGTGGGCGACCCCGCCCTGGCCCTGGGGGAGGCCGCGGCTGGCCGGGGCGGGGAGGTCCCGGCGGATCCGCCGCAAGTGCGGCGCGGGCGGCGGGGGCGAAGGCTGCTGCGCCAGCCGGCACCGCTCGGCCCGGCCTGTCATCCGGTCCAGGAAATCGGATCCCTTCCGAGTCTCCGCCGGGCCGGTCGCACGGCCTTGTGGTCGGCGGGGCCACGCCGCCCCGCCGGGCCCTGGACGGGCGGAAGCCGAGGCGTCCCGAGGCCTGCAGACCCCGCGTCGCTGGGCCTGGCCCCACGGGATGAAGTCCAGAGGCTCTGCACCGGCACGGCAGATCTCAGTCGCGACCGAGTCTGCACTCGGAGGGAGAAGGGTGACATCTTTACTCCTGCAGCCATTTCTTTCCATGAATGAGGAAAGGAAAGAAAGAGAAAACGTCAGACATATACGGTGGCAAAACGAGCAGAGATGGCCCTTCTGGAACACGTACCTACGTCTCTGGCTGGCAGCTGTTCCAGTTGCATGTTACTATAATTCGAGGGCTACATGTGTAAAAATTAACCATGCCAGAAAAAGTAGAACATCCTGTTATCTATTGATCCTAGGTTGAGATTATATTTTGGCTATGGTGGGTTAAATATTAAAGTCAATTTACCCCTATTTTAGTAACATTTTAAAAGATATATTTGGTTGTGACAGGGTCTCACTATGCAGCTCAGACTCATAGTGATCCTCCTGTTTTCAGCCTCCCAAGCGCTGGGATTGCAGGCGTGCACCACAAGCTCAGATTCTGTGGGCAGCGTAGCCAGACCTGGGGGCGGGGCTGGCATGGCATAAGGTTCCTGCTTGCCCAAGCAGGCACTTTGGTCCGCTGAGCTCTCTTGCCAGCCCTTTGAGTGACGTTTAGAAATTTTCAAATTATAGATGTCACTCAT